CCCCCCCCCCCCCACCACTCACCACCCACCGCCCGCCACCAAACGAACAGCGGCGCCAGCGTCACCTGGTGGCGAAAGTTGGAACTGCCGCATCTTGACCCTAATCCTACTCACACCCACATTTTCTAAAAACATCATATCTTGATATAGAGCTTGATAGAAAGTTACAATTTGGTACGATTGTAATGCTCATGATAGTACAGTCTGGTATTGTGGAGGGGTGAAATCGGCCTAGTAGTTTAGGATATTCCGCAAAACATATTTTCACAAAAAGGTAAATATCTCCTAAACTACTGATCGGATTGAAATTTTCTTTTGCAAAATACTCGTCTCGATGTCCACTATTGAGATCAATCAAAATATGGATACCCATTCATATAAACTTGTCGAAATTTTCACGTTTTTCGAATTTTTAAATCTCGGAGTTGATTTAACGTTTCACAATAAACGTAGAATGTGGAAACGGAATTCAGAAATTTGGGTAATAATTAACACCATTGAGTCACAGTAGTATATAAAAGTTTGGGCTGATCGATACAGTACATTTTGGTATACAGCAATTTATCTGAAAATAATTTTTCTTAAAAAATGAGACATCATTCTGTCAATGATTCTCGAATCTGTATGACTTAAGAAGTCATCTGCAATAAAATTATCTTCTTTTTCGCTATATATTATAACAGTGTTTGATACTGTGACAGACACAAATATGTAGAGGGTCATACATTTTGAGGATCGAATGCTGCAACGATCAAGGATTTTTGCTTCCGAATGGAAGCCTTGTAATCGATGATTATTACGATCTCCTAATTAAGCTTGGAAATGATGTAGAATGTCATGAAACGTGAAAATATGATGTTTTTAGAAAATGTATGTATGTATGTCGGAATGTGTATGCCGATTTTTCGGAAATTTTTTATAAATCCCCCCGCAAAAGAACTAAACTTGGAGTTAAAAATCTGAAATTTTATCGGATAATTGGTATTACTTTGCAGCATTTCTCGGCGCAAGTTCAGCTTAATCGGCCCAGTAGTTTCCGAGTTATAGCAATTTCTCAAAAATCTTTTTTCCTTCATATCTCATAAACTACACGAACGAATTGAAGTTTTTTGACGGAAAAGTATTCCTTACGATAATATCTATCGAATCAAATCAAAATATTGCTACATAACTAGGGTCAGTTTAGTAATAATCGGCATTTTTCATTTTTACTAGGAAATCGTTGTGGAAACAATGACTCGCTGAAAATTCAAGATAGGAAGTTGAAATTTGGTAGGATTGTAGCTCTTATGATGCTACAGAATTGTATTATTAACGAACTGAATCGGATAAGTAGTTTAGAAGATATTCAACTTTTTGGTAAAAACTGTTATGTTTAACATCTCCTAAACTACTGCGCCGATTCACTTTACTTTCAAAATATTTGTCACGATATCTTCTATCAAGATCAATCAAAATATGCATACCCGCCCATACAAAGTTTTCGAGATATCAGCGTTTTTCTAATTTTTTCATTTTAAAGTTAATGTGCTGTCCATAATACGCGTCAAGCTTGGTCTAGACATCTGAGATTCTGGGGACTAATTTGTATTATGAGCCCACAGTTATGTATAAAATTTCGTATCAATCGATTCAGTACATCCGGGCATAGAGCAATTTATCCAAAAATCTTTTTTTCTAAAAAATTACACATCGTCATTGTATCAATGATATTCGTCTCTATATGACTTAAAAAGTCATAACAACAATTTAGCGTATTTTGTATTTGATGGAATGTCATAGCTATGACAGAGGTAGAGTTCGGTATGGTCTATTTTTTTTCAAGAAGTGTAAATTTTCTACTATTTTTATTATCAAAAGTACGGTCATTAGTTGATCTTGTGTTTCATGTAAATATAATGTCAATACTTTTGCCTACTTTGGATTGGATTGATATTTCAGTTCATGAGATGAGTCTGATTGTACATGTTCGAAGAATCAGATATTTTGGGGAAAATACGTTTCAAGTGGAAGACGTTTCCTCTTCTTCTTCTATTCGATAGAGTTATATGTTTAAATTTATGAGAGAGGCAAGCACCATAGGTAAGATGTTTATAGGATGTCTTGATTGAGTTATTTTAATCCTAAAAAGTTAATTCGAGAAGTAAATTCAGCCGGATTCCATCCCCGTTCAAACCTCTCATTAATTCTCAGCTATTCAAGGCAAAATACATGTCTATGTTCAGTATTATGCGCGTCTGTAGAAGAATGTATTATCAAGTATAGGTCCATTTAAATGAATAATAACCTTACCAACGATTTTGGGGCGAAATGAATAGCAAAAAAAAAAAAATTACAAATAGTGACAGGACGCGTCCGTAGAATAGAAAAAAAAACATCTTAAAAAAAGGACGATCGAACATGAAGTTGGTTGAGAGGGAGGAAAAGAACAAAGACGCAACACTACTCCCACTCTTGAAAAGTTGTCGCCCCGACAACAACGCGCCTGTTGAAGGCAATCGTAATGAAATTTCAGTTATTTACTGACTGAAATAATATTTTAATTATCTGGGGTCTTCAACCCAACTCTCTTTCAAAAACCCAGACGGAAAATACAGAAAGAGAGAAAGTTTTACTCGAAATAAGTTAATTGATATTGAAGCATGATTTCCTCTTCCATGATGGTACGCCAATAGTCCAGTGGTCTTTCACGGCTCTCAGAGGAATGGGGAAAGAGTCGGGAATTCGAAATGGAAGAGAAATGAACGGCAAAAATCAATTGTTTAAATTCATCTGTATCCCCCAATTTATGCACTTGTAACGTAAGATACTATTTCGGCCTTGTGACAAAAATAGCCATTTTCTCTATCTCAAAAAGAAAGTAACTGAATTGGATTTTTTTTACGTGAAGATAATCATCATGATACTATGTATAAAATCAAATAAAAATATTGTTATGCCACTAAGAACGGTTTGGTAATAGTCAGGATTATTAATTTTTATGAAGAAACCATCGTGCTCACGATAACTTTCGAGAAAAAAAGTAAGAAGTTAAAATTTGGTAAAATTGTAGCTCTTATGACATTACAGGATAAAATTCTATAGCTCTGACAGAATGAGAGGTCGGTGTGGTTTATTCCCCTTACCAATATGAATAGCTTTCTGAGTAGTTATCATCTGCGAAATTGTATGTATCCATTAGGAAGCTTATTACCAATAGAACTGGTAGAAAAAAAAAGTAAATGTCACATGGCTTTTGGAAAAAAGGTTTACCACCGTACTTGTTACATTTCAGAACCCTTAAGATATTTTGAGAGAAAATTTTCGTTTTCGTAATTCCCAATTATGCTCTTGCTATTCACCACGCTGGTGGATAGGGATTGATAACATTGAAAACATTCGGGAAAAGTTAAACTATTGAAAAAATTGATAAACAAACAAACAAAGAGTTCAAAATAAAATATCCATTAGTTGAACAGGTGTGATTATAGATATAACTATCTCTTGGTATGAAGAATAATAAATTAGGCCATAGTGTAAATGCCATTATGGGAAAATTGTACAGTACAAAAGAGGGGCACTGGAGAAGAATAATCTTAAAATAGCAAATAACATACCATCCAAACAAATGGAAATAACGTTAAAAGTAATAACGGAAATCGGTGTAGAAAAAAAAGGACATTTTTCAACAAGGATTTTCATAGAACCATTGCGACAGATCCATTTGGAAGCTTATTACCAATGAAATTGGTAGAAAGAATTAGAATCAAAAAGACTAATAACGAATAAAATAACGGTCTGTCGCGTCTGTCGAATAGGCTCACAAACCCTGCTTGTTTCTTCATTTGTATTGCTGTGAAAATTTCAGTAGGGAAAGGATCAAAAGATTATGACCTTTCTCATCAGCCTGTTGATATATTGTCTATATAGATCTCGGAGCATGAACGTTACACGTTTTTTTCACCATATGTTTCATCTTACCAAAAAAAATTCACAGAAAAAGATTAAAAAATACATGCCTCGGGAGTATTATATAATATAAAATTGTCAGCAGAACAGATTGTCTCGAGAATGAATCATTGCAGAAAACATTTTGTCTTTTTTTCTCATTCGATTTTCCTCCATGCTCAGCGAAATATCTCGGTCCTATTATGTCGCTCTGCATGGAAAAACGGGGATTGGAGCAATCGGCGAAACATCTCGACAACGATCGAATTATTCTGCACTTTATTCTGCCGCTTAGTGAAATTATCATTGATTTCCATGATGCGTTGAAATCAATGAGCTCTGGGTATGCAAGTTTTGATTACGAGGATCATGGATATGTTACAACACACCTTGTAAAGGTAAGAGAAAAGATATCAATGGTTCGATCATTAATTCGATATTGCAGGAAAAACCTGAAAGATAATGTTTGCATCATTGACTGTTCCTATATTTGCAAGAATTCTGGTGTTTATGAACAGTATTTTTCGCATCCTAATTTTTCCTAATCAGAATATAGAATGTGTAAATATTTTACGCATTTTCGTATTTCCACGGGTAAGAACAATCAGGATACCTTGTGCATCGAAATTTGATCTATAAAACCCATTGCCTTTGTTGTTACACAGTGAAAGAATCGCAGAATATATGATAATTTGAAAGATCTCACTTGATCACAACTAATAGTTACATTCTTTCAGTTATCTGTTCTTTTAAATGGATTATCAATTGAAGAATTGAGCACCATTGTTCATACATCGAGGGCAAAGGACGTCGCAAAACATATGGCTAGGAAACTTGGAAAAATTATACCCAGACAACAATTTCTACTAGCCATTCAAATAGGAGTGGGAGCGAAAATTTTAGCCAGAGAGGATGTGAAACCATATAGAAAGGATATCACCAGTCGATTGGTAATCTCATTAACAATGATATTGATGATAGATTTAATGGTGATGAACTGGACTAATGAGGAATATTAGGCCGATGTAGCGACCTGAAAATTAAAGAATACGTAGTTTTTCTTACCGTCTAATACGCAGTGTTAAGGGCAGATAATATTACCGAAAATTGACCACCTCTGTGGGTGATTCTCCAATTGCATTTATAAGATATGCGTTTTTGTGAATGTATATCATGGCAATAAGTACCTTATGATAAATGATGAGAATCTCCTCGCGATCGATAATCTCTCGGAGGCTAACCATTTGAGAGGTAAAGTACCTCTGCAAAAAATTATATTTTTAGTAAAACAAATGGTATTCTCCTTCCAATAATTCCGGAGCACATAGTGTGTTCACCCAGAATCAGGCATGATGTTCTCAACAATCATAGGGGAGGTTAAATTTTTACTAGATTGTTGGTCGATCGCTTCCATTGTGGGTGGGTGGTACGTATTACTTACTGAGGTAGGTGTGACCCATTATTGGTCGAATCAATAACTTCCAGATCAATTCCCTTTTTCCAATTATTAGTCGAATCAAAGTTCCGTTTATTAGTTGACAATCGATTCGCATGAAGATGCATCAATCGTACAAAAAAAAACTAACTCTCATCATTTTTCCAGGGCAAATTGTCAAATATTCAACGAGAAGTATTTTTTTCAATTTTTTTCAAATAAGCTTTTAGAATAAACCGCTAAAGCGAACATTTTTATAAACTAATTTGTTCTAAATTCCACAAACATACATGGATTGCAAGAAGAAAAAATTGAGAGGATTCAGTTGTTGAGACGATATCGTCAGATAGACTTATGTCACAAACGTACATGCATACACATATGTACACATACACACATGACTTTCGAGACGTACCAGGACAAATATCAAGAAAGGTGGAGAAGTAATGAAAATATCATATTAGATTTTAGGGGTCATTACAATAATTTCTTCCATTCGGGTAGAGTAGTTAATAATTACAGAATCCTCTCTGGACTTTTAAGAGCTTATGAAGGTCTTGCGATGATGCCAATTGAAAATGAACAATTGCCTTTGCGGATGCTGAGGAACCTGTATGTTATGTTTGTAAGAAAATAGCAGTTGAATTTTGGAGTAGCATTAAAACAAAACAATATCTCTTTATTAGAAGTATTTCTTGTGGATTCAGAAGAATGGAGTCAGGTCAACTATTGCATTGCTAGACACATCAAATGAATTAAGAAGGAACTCAGTAGATAAGTTGAGACGTGTATGAAATTATACATTGGAAAGTATGGAAAAAGCTATGGATTTCGGGTTGATTGTTCATGTTACCAACCTACCGAGGTGGGTCGCACACGCTCAGAAAGCCATTGGATATGAAGATAATTGTTTGAAGGCCTTGTTGGAGATAACTCTCTGAGTTCTTTGAGTTAGGAGATCAATCTTCGTACAGTAGGTCAATAGTGGAATCTTGTAAAGTAATTGGTAGAGAAAAGAGGTGTTACTTTATTTGATTAACTCATCATTATGTAGACTGGATAATTAAGTAGAAATTACAAAATGATACAAAATAAGTATCAAGCTTGATTTACGTTGACGACTGAACTCCCGAATATTCGTGAGTCCAGACTATATAATAACTAAGCGTGTTACGTTACGATACTGGTAAACAGTATTGCACATGAACGCGGATTTAGTAATGCAATTAGTGAAGTAAGTTGAACTCAATACATCGGTCAACTTCTTGACCTTGTAAATAAATTATTGCTTAATAGTACAATATTATTTTAGAGAATAATATCCCTCCTCGCTAGGAAAGAAAATTCTTATTCCTGACAACTACTAAATCCGTTAAACGGTACGAATGAGTAGTTGTGATGTTCTTGACGTGTGTACGTTACTTATTTTTCAACACACATCAGCGATTGTTCATGGACAAATGGATCAGTAACTGTGGGAACTCATCAGGCCGTAGCACACAGCGGGGAATAATTGTGGAACGCCCACTCTTGGAGTGGTACTTATTGTCGGAACTAACGCCGTGGGACCAAACCTCGATTTGGGGTCCACCTCATGGCGGTGTAGGCCGGCAGTCTCCCCTCGTCTTTTCTCATCTCTAGCGATCATAACTCCAAGTCAACGGCCTGAATCGAAAAGAGGAAGTCCTGAAAAATATCTCTTTGGACCAATCAACATCTAGACCATTCCGTTCAGACTTATAGAAGGGAGGACTAGACAACGGCGTCCCTCTACGAGGCCCATATATTCCAAATGGGAGCAAAAGGTGTCTTCAAGCAAGGATCCATTGCTATCAACCTCAGAATGACATCAGTCCAGAGTACCCTGACACAAGGAATGAGCAGAGGGAAATTTCAGGGTGTGAGATTGGAGCAGAAATCAGACCAGAGTATCGTCCTCCTCCCCCTTGTAATGAGTAGAGTCTACTCCTCTGACCTGCCAGCAACATTAAAATTATTCCATTTTATATACTGTGACGTGATAAATTCGTTACAAATATTTATTTTTTATTATCGATCTATTTATTATCGATTTATTTGTGGTTGTGAATCACCAGACGGGAAGTCATCAACCGATAGCAACAGTCATGAGAGAGAACTTGGGTTTTTCTTTTTAATTTTGTGGATTATGTTGAATCAAATTTGGCGCCATCACACCTATGCTGAGGTAGCCATCGTCTTCGAGAGACATCGGGATGCCGAGGGTTGTCGAAAGACTCCGAGATAAATTCGGGGCCTTCGTGAGAGCCTCGTGGGCATTCGTGTTCCCCAGAGGGCGCCAGCTCCTAGACAGTTTTGAGAAACGAAGTGACGCAGTGACCCATCTGATGAATGATACATGGGGAAGGAGAAAAATATGCAATGAATGAAACCATGCTAATTTTACTGTTTCGAAGGGACGGATTGGTTCCCTGGAGGCTTCCGTGAACCTCAGAAATTACGTCACAATACATTTCGAATAGAAAGGAGTCGATGTCCTCTTTTAACTCAAAATTCATCGACTGGCGCCTATTTCAGTGAAATTTAGTTGAAAATATTTCTTTATTTTTTAGTAGAAAATCCTTGAAACGTCACAACTTATTGTCGACTCGAATCCGCGAAAGAAAAACGAACTTATTTATTTCCTGTATTGAAATGTCGATCTATGGGAGAGTGCCATGTGATGTGACTGTGGTATAACTTACACGATTTTAAATTGAAAAAATTTAATAAAACCATAGTAACCAAGGAAGAATGAACAACATAATTAAAACACAAAGTGTAGGTGGAATAAGATTCATATAAATTGTAGTCCTGTAGTGATGAAAAGAGAAATACTCTTTCGAATACCCTCAAGTTTCAAAATGCATCGGGTATTTCCCTCAACTTTCCCTGCAAACAAACGATGGTCTCAAGATTTGCAGGTAATTTTTTGAGTCTGAAAAACTCAACGGTTTAGTTTGTTTGAAATGAAGCTATCGGAAAATATCCAATCATTTTGTAGCTCGCGGAATACTACTGCTAATAGAATTCATGGAAATATACCAAAATTGTCGATTAATTTTCCATTGAATGTGATAGAACTGTAAAAAATGAATGGAATTTTTCATATTTGTTATTTTTGTCACCATAAAATTCAAGGACGGACACACAAAAATTGGAAATCAGTTTCCAGTTATTATAATTAAACTGTAGGCAATCAACGGAATTTTTTAAAGAATTTTCTCCGTTCAAATTTCAGCCAATAGAATTAAACCATTCAACGTTATTGTCAGATTTTCTATATATGCAAAAGATTTTCTGTTTGAGTGAATCCTCGTTGAAACTCACAAATTTGGATGGTAAAATTCTCCGTCGCATACCACTTGAGATATTTTCCTCAATGTTCCCTATGCACAAGCAAAGTCAGGAAAAATCAGTCGTGAGTAGATATGCAGCGACGGTTCTGGACCACAAAACCAGAAGTGACGTCACGAAAAGGGCGGGAAATTCGAATTTCGCCAAACCGGAAGTCACGTGACGGTGCAAAATTTGAAATTCTGTCACTAGAGGGCAGGAGGAGGAGAGGTCACGTGACCATCCGGATGTGAGGTCATAAAAAAGGGGTGAAAATTTGAATTTTGCTGAAAACGGAAGTGACATACATGGCATAATATTTTTATTACAAAGCCAGGGCGATGAGGAGAGGTTATGAGAGAGGACAGTTAAGAGGGGGAGCAGAGATAGACAAGCTCCCGTAGGGTGAGGGGAGGGGAGGCAGCAGCGCGCCGAGAACGGTCTGTCACCGAGGT